TTTTCCATCTTGAAACGACAAGGATGAACAGCACTGAAAACACTGCCGGAGCAAAGAATAAGCTGAAAATCTGAAAGGCAGTGCCACGACCAGGCATCTCACGAAGGCAAATGGCAATCTATCAAACTATAGATATAAACAACACCTAAAGAACCGTGTGCGACAAAAAGTATTGCAGTGATTGCAATGACCAGGCACGTCGACTGAAATGCACTCCGGCTGAGTTGTCGATTAGGTTAACTACTTTGGTTGTCCTGTCCTTGTAATGATTTCATTCTACATCTTGAAACGATTAGGATGACGTTGCAGCTGACAATGACAAGTATCGGAAAAAACCTGCAAAATGTCTGTTGGAACTGTATGAGAACGTTCCTACTATGAAAGGTACGTTGAAAAGCACTGAAAATACAACACTTGCAATGAGTAACCTATTTTGAACAGAATCCCGCATACACGTTGCAAATCTGAAAGGCACTGCCACGGCTAGACATCTTACGAAAGCAGACAGTCGGGTATGATTCAAACACATGGACTACAAGAATGCACAGATATACACATAATGAAGAATAGAATCTTTCCCACCTGAGGGTATCAATCGTGAGCAAACTAAAAAAATCCATCACAGTGAGGTACTTCAACAGTCTGGAGAACTTTGAATTCATTTTAGAAAGAACATACATGTAGACACTGATCATATTTCCAATAATCCATAGTAAACACAGTGGAATTTGAATGTATATAACTACTTCCCAAATATTCACAGAAGCCATGATTCTGTGTCTGCTGAACGATCAACCCAACGCAGTCGCTCGTTGTATACATACTCCTTTGAGAAAATGAAAATTATTGGCGTAAGTCTTTCACATTAATTTCTACCAGAAGCGTTTATGTTAAAATGTTAGCTTTGTTTCAGACGTAATTGTATGCATATATTGTAATACAGTGACCACTCACTAAAACGGACAGTACAAACAACATTCATGTGAGATGTTTCGGAAAAATATTCCCCTATTACATCGGATACATTTCCACCACAGCTCGGCACATGTATCCCTGACTTCAGCACATATTTAAGAATCACTTCTCAAATTGTCTTTGTCAAAATTACATAGTTTACAGTTGAAATCAAGCGTAATACATCAGATATGAAAACCATCGGTTTGCTTTGACTAAACAATGAATAAAACAGATTTTACATTGTGCAGCATTTGACTAAATTTTGAGAGATCAATACTGTGTTTTTAGGGCATCTGAGCACAAATTAAAGTATTAAAATATATGCAGTGAATCGGTAAATCCAAAGAGAGTTGTCTATCCCGTTTCCAGTACTTATTAGGTATTTTCTTTGAGGTGAAGGTTGGCTTAATAAAAATGGTTAAATATAAACCATGCTGTGTATATATTCCAGAAATTTACACCATTATTCTGATAGCTCATTACAAAGGTTGATTTTGTTTCCATCTTATATTGTAACATAGTGGCTTGAAATATGGCTGCAACATTATAAGCAACAGAAACAAGACAAACGTGTGTTTTGTTTTCCGTTTGATTTACGTCTAATTTTTGCTCGATAGGTCTAATTACGACACACTGTAAAACTATTTTATATAAAGTTAGTTAAAATTCTTTCGAAAGAGCATCAAATTCTCACTAACAAACTAAGATTTCCTTTTGGCACGTTTTGTAATCTGTTTCTGAGTAGTTGTAGGTAGATAACACCAGGATACAATAGAGGATGGTACCTGACAATGTCATCTACATGTAACCATTCAATAATTATATGCTATTATGTTATGTTGCATTTCAACATATATAATGAACCTCGGTAGCATTCGGTCACACACTTATTGAACAAAGCGCATAAGAAAAGACATGCTATATCAACAATGAAACCGTCTTTAAAAGTTCTGTATTCTGTCTACCGTTATTCACAGAGTATTCTCTTTCGAACTCGTAACCCGTCACAGGGTTTCAAACTGAAGGAAAGTCTTGTGCCAAAATCTTGAACTTTGTCATGAACTATGACAGTATGACAACGTGTATGATTGTCTTTGTTAACATGAAGGAAATATCGCAGCAAAGTACGTAAAATTAACCTAGAATAAATGAGTGAGTGAGTGAGTTAAGATTTAAAGTCACATCGGCAATATTTCAGCCATATCGTGACTAAAACTAGACTAAATTCTAATAGTTCTAAATTCATACTACATACATATAGTATATAAAACCCTGTCAACAAAGGACAGTAAAACCACTAGATTATCACAGATTGAGTTAAAACTAGCTAGCATATATCTTTAAAAGTACAAAACTATTTTTGAAGTGAGTGAGTGAGATAAGATTTAAAGTCACATCGGCAATATTTCAGCCATATCTTGACTAAAACTAGTTCTCAATTTATAATACATACATATAATATATACACCTGGAACTTAATTAAGCACCCCCTGATATATTTCACGATAGTAGAGCAACTGTTAACCATCGTTAAACATGAATGATATCTCTGTATTACAACACATCTCTAGTAGTCTAAAAAGGTGTTTCAGTTCCTTTGCACTCGTCACAACGCATCCCTCGTGCACGTGAAGCATACAACCCACACTTTTCCCAAAATTCAGTTTCTCTGATATGCAATTTATGGGTATAAAAGCAGACAAATTTGTAACTGTCTCCATTAATGAATACTGAAATGGCGAGCAGATGACTTTCTGAAGCACTAAGGTGGCAAATTATAGCCATACATGCAACAGGCATGTCCTTCAAAGCTATTGGACGACAACTTGGCTACAGTCACTCGGTCATCAGCCGACTTGTCCGAAGCATCAGATGACAGGAGATGTGAGAGATCGTTCAAGGCCTGGACAACCCAGGAAGACAACGGCCTGGCACGTCTGGTAAGGCGAGAACCCTTTGCCACAAGTTCGGGTTTGAAGCGCCTGTGGTTACCCTACAGACAATTATCCACCAGAACCGTCAGAAATCGCCTTAGGGCACTTGGTATGAGGTTCAGAAGAGTCATCAAACGTCCTGCTCTGTCTGATCTCCTTAAGAGACGACGTCTGGAGTGGTGTATGGCCCGTCGGCAGTGGAACCTGAGGACATGGAGGAGGGTCCACTGGTCAGATGAGAGCAGGTTCCTCCTCCACGTTACAGATGGTCGAGTGAGAGTGTGGGGGCATAAAAACACTGCTTACGTGCCCAGGAATATCCACCCTACTGTTCCTTATGGTGGAGGATCGGTTATGATCTGGGGCTGTCTTTCACACGACTGTAAACTTCAAATGGTGACTGTCCGAGGACATCTTAATGGTCAGCAGTACATCCGGGATATTCTCCATCCAGTTGTCGTGCCTCACTTTGACAACCATCCGTTGGCTACTCAACCGATATTCATGGACGACAACGCCAGGCCACATCAATCACGTGCTGTGACCGCAGATCTCCAGAATGAGGCTATTATGACATTACCTTGGCCAGCAATGAGCCCCGATTTGAATCCTTTGGAGCACATCTGGGACTTTCTTCGACGCCGTGTGAGGTTGAGAGAACCCCCTCTCCAGAATCTTGCACAGCTGGAAGCTGCTTTGCATGAAGAATGGCGGCAATTGCCACTTGATCGTATCAGAAGGTTTACCAGTAGCATGAGGAGAAGGATTCAAGCTGTCATCCAAGCACGTGGGGGATACACCCGATACTGATGCCAGACCCATCAGATGTTAGCATGTGACATTGCTTGTGCATCATTTCTTGTAATAGTCAGCCATTGACAATGCTACGACCATACTTGTTCAGTGACTATTTTCATCAAAAATCAATAGTGACCAAATCACATTGGTTACGCTATTAAAACAACACGAATTGGAATCATTGTCGTGTTTTTCATTTGCCAACAGATCGTATGTTTCACAATAGCTAAGGTTCCACTATCTTTGGAATAGTGAGAAAGTTACAGCAAGTTTTGTTTCTCATCATCGAGAAAAACACGGGGGGTGCTTAATTAAGTTCCAGGTGTATATAAAACCCTGTCAACAAAGGACAGTAAAGCCACTAGCATATCACAGATTGAATTAAAACTAGTTAGCATATATCTTTAAAAGTAGAAAACTATTTTTGGACAATACAATGTAAAAAATGGGCTATAAATCGCCAACAACTGAAGGTAGATCACCATACTAGGAACCATGGGGACTTACATTACTTTTGCTACCTGCATGGATCCTAGCTGGATTTACACCATCCCTTCAGCCACTGGCGATTGTAGGAAAATTTAGCCAACAGTTAAAGTAACAAAAATACTACGATTAAAATGTGATAATATATATTTTTCTTGGAAACTTTTGGGGCTTACGTACCCTCTCAGGAGGACAATATTTTTACGCTACTTCAACCCCCTTTGAGGGTACAGCCACTAACAATCTCAGTTTCTAATCTAAACTAATGCTAGCTTTGAGTATGGGACCAGAAGTGGTGTCACAGATTTGTTGAGTGCTGCCTTGGCAGCAAAATCGGCCATTGTATTCCCAGAAATGCCAACGTGGCTGGGTAACCAACAGAGGACGATGTCGTATTGGCCAGTTGCAAGATCATTATATAATTCTATAACTTCTATTATAAGTGGATGTTCACAAGAACTATTTTTAATCGCCTGAAGGCAAGAAAGAGAGTCTGAAAATATTATATATTGTTTATATTTAGGATGTCTATTTATATATTTAAGAGCTGTTAGTATTGCGTTTGCTTCTGCTGTGAAAATTGAACTGTCATTGGGTAATCTGGAAGATATTGTTTTGGACCCAATGACAAATGGGTTTCAAGTCAGAACTAGCTGACCTGCACAGAGTTTCCCAGCCAAGTGTGTCCCGGTCTATCTCTTCCTGCCTTCACGGGTTTGTCGGAGCGTTGGACTTCATCAAGTTCCCGATCGACGATCAAGGGCTTCGGTAAGTGAAGGCAGGATTTTACGGGATAGCCGGGTTCCTTGGTGTTGTTGGGGCGATCGACGTGGCACTCATCCCCATCACTCGACCGGCTGCCGACGAAGAAGCGTTTGTTTGTCGCAAAGGTTTCCACACTTTGAACGTCCAAGCCATTTGCGATTCAACCTTGAGGTACGTACCAAATAGGGTTACAAACGAAGCATACTCGTATCTATGGGTACTCACAATAAGGTTAACTGAAACAAAATGACATCGTTATTTCAACGACAGATATATATATATTTGATGCGTGAAAACATATGTGTTTGACCTTCACCTTAAATGCTAACCCAATGAAATTGAAAGGCCTAAAAAAAGTTGTAGATCTAATATGAATGGTGTGAAGGGGCACTTTTAAGTTTATCTTGTCTAAATTGTGTTGTAGGAATAAGAAAAAGCTTTCTAATTAACGAATTTTTATTTTACCCAACTGCATTCATATGATCGTTGTTGCTGTTTTTGACATACATAATGGAAAGGTTTGGTTATATTTTTTTTTACTAAAATGCACAAATGTTAAAAACTTTTATTATTTTTTCGCAGATTTACCAACATAGTATGTAAATGGCCAGGTAGTACCCATGACAGCTTCATATTCAGTAATAGCAGAATAGGAGAAATACTCGAGAGAAGAGCTGGTGGAGATGGCTGGCTGCTGGGCGATTCTGGGTAATTAAACATTTATGCGCAAATATTCAGTTTGATAAAATAGTAAAAAAAAAAATATATAGCAATTTGAAATAAATTGGAACCTTTTCCGTATGTTTTCCTAGCATGTCATAATTAATTGTCTCTGAAAAATATACAGTTATAGTGACTCATTTTTACAAAATAGATATGCATGCAGATCTTGGCTGTTGACGCCATATGTCAACCCAAGCCCAGGGGTGAGGAGGCTACAACAGAGCACACACAAGGGTATGATCATTCGAGTGCAGCTGACCTTGGATAACACCTGGACTGTAATAGAAAGACAATAGTTAAGCTTGGACTGCACAGAGTGGACTAGACTGATTAAGAAGGGCACAAGTCGTTGACTTCAGGCAGTGGCCAAGAGAGGATGTGTTATGCTGAGTAAATATATAGCTGAATTTACAGAGAAATTTTATTTCTTGCTTTACCCCAGGTTGTTTCATCCCATTTAGAGGTTGTTTCACCCAGCAAATAATAATAATTAGTATTATCAACTATGAAATTGACTATTTTGAATCTAGTATCAGAAAAAGTGTCAAAAAGATATGACGGGTGACAAAAACATGTCAGATCCTTTTGAAGTCTGCTGCTTCAGGCAATGGAGAATAAGCCAGTCGCTCCTTTACTGTGGCCAACACACAGCTTCTCCCTCTCCAAGAATTCTCAGTTCTCAGGGTATATCAAAACAATAACATACAAAAAACACTTTATTATCTTCAAGAAATAGGCATGAATATTATGCTATGAATTGGATGTAACTCAAAAACTTATATCAGTAAGTAACAACACAATATTTAGTATTACATTCATATGTAACGACAACGGATTTAAATTATGGATTTTTACATTTGCACTTATTTTCTATAAATAATACAAACTTATGTAAATGGTTGGTTGGCACTCACTTGGTCGCGATGTCCGTCCATAATTTCTTTTTCTGCGAAGCCGACACCTGGGAGGAAAAGTGTCCAAAAAGAACGCTATAATTGGATTTTGTCTCTTCTATCAGGATTCCACCTCTGTGGCAGACCAGTTGGACGTGGACGTGCTTCCTTGAAGGAGTGCTGGGAATGCAAGACTCCATTATCCGGGATATCGTCTGCCTTGTTTGTAAACATGGGAATTCCCTCGTGCTTGTGACGTCACGGGGAACCCCTACTAAATCTCCCTTTGAGATAAAAGAGTTCCTTTCGTAAATTACGAAAAGTTACTTAAACGTGACTAGTCGTGTTGGGGTTACGAACTCGATAAGAACGTTTCGAGAGTAGGTCGTAAACATTTTCTTAAGAATTCTTATCTTTTGGCGTAAGCAGTTAAGAATTCGTAGCTCTACGAACGTTTCGAGAATAGGCTCGCTGAATAATAAATAGACAAATCTATCTTTGCATGCTACAAATTGGAAGGTTCGTTTGGGAACATAACATTCCGGTTAACCTTTTTTTTCTGAAATGTCAATTGAAACATTTACAAATGTATTAATTTCCCTAACAGTTTTAGCTGGACAAATGACAACGTTATCAATTAAAACAATCTCACGAGTGCTGACTGGCATTGTCAAGCAAATACGTTGTTAGAACAAGATTTACATGTAGTACACATAAACGATGACAATCACATCAGATATGATGACAAACTATTTCATCATTTCTATTTTGCCTATACTCGACAGACCAGTGTACACATGGGAGCAGTTATGTTGCAAAGCCCTTCTCGATAAGAGAAGTCAGACCGGTGCTTTTAAGAGATTAAGAGAAATTAGTGGACACAAAACTACCAAATTCATGTCTGCGGTTGGGCGAATTGCGTCCACCTCAACATTCTAGAGCCATGTAACATAACATCTTGGACTTGGATTACTTCTACGATGGTAGATTATATTCCTTAGTAAACACACTTGACGCCTTTATAGGAATACAAAGGGCTTTCACCAGTGAAGATCCGGGTTAGAATCGATCTTCAGCAAAAGACGCTTGTCCACAAAGGGATATTGCTGAGTGCGGCTTTTAACAACAATTTAACAGATACCAGGGGCTTTCATCTCAAACAACTTTCCAACACAACTGATAAGCAATATAGGTCTGTAGTTTGACACAATGGAGTGGTCACCTTTCTTAAATAAAGGCATTACATTGGCATATGTCCAATTATTGGGATACACACAGCAACTGAGGGACATATTGAATAATTAACACAGTACAGGACTGATAGAGTTGACAGTTTTCTTAAGCAATTGATGACTGATTCTGTCGGGTCCAGCAGCTTTCTTTACAGGCAAGCGTTTAATGATATCGGATATTTCATTACTGGTAAGAATTATGTTTTCCAAATACGCGTCTGTGCGTTTGTCAAACTGAGGCAGGTCTAAATTCTCATCTTTTCAAAATTGCATATAGATTCAAATCGCATATTCATTCAACATATTAGCCGTTTCCAAAGTCAGAGAACGCTGACGGACCCTCTTCGGTGCCATTTCTCTATAGAGCGGGAATGTAGGAAGCGGAATTGGACTTTTTTACTATGGTGTCACCATGCACAGATTTCCACAGGACCCCACAGTTCGTGCTACTTACTAGTTGTTGTAAAATATGTATATGATTGATGACCACAAAGATTTTCCATGACACAACTTGTAACATAACGATTTCTTCCTCGGAAGCGAGGTTGTGGTCGAAGTAACGATAATATTGTAAGTAGTATTGTATTGACACCCACCTCGTTTCCACGAGAGAAATTGTTATGCTATAAGCTATGTCATGCAAAATCCTATTAGCTATCAATCAAATACATAATTTACTACCAGTAGAAAGTAGTTTTGATTTTGTAACTCGGTGAAAACAAACCTAAATAGCATTTATCCTCAGACTGGCGGTATTCGCCATTTTTGAAAATCGTAAAGTCAAGGGCTAAAGTCTGTTAGAATTAATGAGATTATGGTTTGTTTTCATCAAGTTAGAAAATCAAAACTACTTTCTACTTGTAGTTACATATGTATTTGAATCATGACCAAAAGGATTTTGCATGACACAACTTGTAACATAACGATTTCTCCCACGGAAGCGAGGTGGGGGTCGAAGTGACAATACTGCGCGATAGATTTCTTGCTTCATTCACGTGGTTAACGTCCACTCACCAGTATGTAGATACTAGTCAATGTACGTCTTTATATTTGGTCTTATAATCCTAATTAGTTTATCATCATACTTGTATGCATTTTGAAACTAAATAAAAAGCAGACGATATGCTGATACTTAAAGTGAATTTATAACAGGACTGTAATATCTAGACATTTTATAGTTTGGCAATGTGAATCATAATTCGCACACACGCCCAAGTGTATGTTGTCTGTCTCATTACACTTCGCGACGAAAACAGTGATTCTGGGCATCCACCCTTTTTAATGTCGCACTGTTTAGGTTGAAGAAATTACCCGTAACCGTGATGAGCGAGGCTGATCATCGTTTTCACTATCACTAGCGTCTGGCTCGAACAAATAAGGCCTAGCGACACCAAGCGATTTTGACATAATCGTCTATGAAAACAAGTTGTAACTCGGAAACTAGGCAAAGCAGGAGACAAAATTAAGTGTAGATTGTGAGAACATATAGTTTTTATCTTTCACAACAGTTGTCACGATTTCAGGTTTATACAAACCTGTAAACAAGATAATTTACCCCCTGAAATGTACATGAATTCTGCATCGACCCTCATATCTATTCCTCATATGACGTCACAGAGACGCTCCGCTCTGATTAGTTGAAATTTCGTTCGCAGGTGGAAATTGTGCACTGTTGTCCAAAAGGTCGATTTAAGTTAATTAAAGATCGAAATGAGTAGTTTGAATGACGGGGTTTCATTTATAACGATGCCAATTAGTGATTTATGTATTTGTACCCCCCTAGAGTATATGTGATCTTTAATTAACCCAGGGGACGGTTTGGGTTAAATATCCAGGGGCCGGTTTGGGTTAATATCCAGGGGCCGGTTCGGGTGTATCCTGGGGGGTTGGTATCACCTTGTTGTTGGATGGTGGCCGCCATCTTGTCTTGTGTTGTTGTTGTTTTCGGTGTACTACACGACACGAAGGAAAACACATCTGGTAAATCTAGCTGTTATGTTGATTGTACCAATGGTTTAGACGACTTAGGGGGCATTGAATCCAACAGAGATCCGGATGGTTTTTTGTTTCTCGCTGCTGCTCCTTTGTTGGGGTGTATGTACAGTGGTGTTGGCGCCCTTTCAACCTTGTCTATCTCGTGATGATGGCATCTTTTCCCGATTGAGTTTGTTCAAAATTGCCTCTGTTCACCCAGCAGGAAAATGGGTACCCGGTGGAAAAAAGTCATATGACTATAACCTTCTAGCGCCTAACAGGCAGCTTGGGTTATCCGGGGTAATAATGGCCTTGATTGTTAGCGCTATGAGCATACCTAGTGTGGAGTTTGGCGCTATATAAATGGACACATTATTATTATTATTATTATTATAATTGCCAATTCAATGTAGCTTAAAATGCTATTAATAGTTGCACAACAACTTGCTGTATTGGGAACGTAATTTTCACGTGTCAGTTACTTGCATAAATGTAACTTGCAACACAGAAATCGGGAGCTCTCTCACATACATCTGAGCAATGCAATTACTTTGATCCCGCACTAATGTATTGTTCTCAAAATTGCAAATGTCTGTCTGATCATATTTAAACTGACTCATTGAACGAAATCCAATCTATTCAGAACAAAACTACCAAACATCAACTTAAAGTGGTAAACAAATATTAAAATGTTCGCAAGAAGAAAATTAAATCAGGCACAAACATAGAGGTAGTCTTGATCCATGCGCACGTTTTGGTGCTTGGAAGCAGCCAAAACAAGCCTAAAATGACGGAAAATAAGCCTGAACCCACCATCAAAACCAAACGAATTCCAAAGTCATTCTCCAACAGTGAGTGAGTGAGTTAAAATTTAACGTCACATCGGCAATATTGCAGCCATATAGTGACGAGAACAGTTGATATCAATATTCAAATCAATAAATGTATAACGTAAAAGTGAGTGAGTGAGTTAATATTTATCGTCACATCGGCAATATTTCAGCCATATCGTGATGAGAGCAATCTATACTTATATTAAAGATCAATCTAGTTAGAAATTAAAAGCCTGTTGACGAAGAACAGTAAAACTACTAGTGCATCACAG